CTTTGGTAAACGGTCAAACACCAAACGCCTTGAAACACTCCCTTATCATACCCATACACAAAACCATGGAGGGTCTGGTTAACAACCGCCTCACACCATATCTTGAAACACAAAATCTATATAATACAACAGCAGAACTGTACAGAATACAAAAAATACACACTTGCAGTCTTTTAGGATTTCTCCAAGGCCTTTGATATGCTCTGGAGACCGGGTGTCATCCAATAATTACAACAAAAAAAGGTTTAGAAGGTGCACTTCAAAATTTGGTATCAGCCGTTCTAACAGACAGAGACTTTAAGGTCTCCATAGACCATCAAATCTCCCCAAACTATACACTAGAAAATGGCACACCCCAGTGAAGTATCATCTCACCTACCCCCTTCAATGTTATGGTTGATGAGGTGAGGTGAGGTGAAATTGGGCTTAACGTCGTGCTTGAGAATATTTTGCTCATATGACGACGTGCATGCGTGTGTATGTGTATGTGCGCTGCTTGTACTAACGCAGACTTAAGCTGGTTTTATAGTGCTAGCCCACTGAGATACCATGCCGCAGTGAAGCATGAATACCCCACACAGACACATTATACTGACTCCGAGCCGACCAGTCCTTGTTGTACCCATTAATGCCGAACGCCAGGCAGGGACCAACAAGTACCCTATTTTAACGTCTTTTTTGGTATGACGCGGTCGGGGATCGAACCCGCGACCTTCCGCTCTCCGGGCGGACGCTCTAACCACTACACCACGGAGGCGGTCATGTTATGGTTGATGGTATATTCAACAACCTCAGGAAAAATATAAACAAATCCCAGTTTGACGACCATGGAGCAATATGGGTAAATGAAAAAATATACACAAAGCACAAAAACAAAGTCAAGCTGCACTTAACCATATTGAAAACTGGACCAACCAATGGGGGTTCCAACTCTCTACCACCAAAACAACAACTGTAGTATTCAAAGCACAACATGGAAGAAAACAAAACGTACATCTTTATATTAATAAACAAAAAATACCGCAAAATTTACATTAAAATTTCTAGGTCTAATCCTGGACCAGCACTTAACGTGGAACAAACACACTCAGTTCATACAAAGAAAATGCAAGTCGGATCTCAACATTATTAAATATCTAATACATAGTAAATGGGGTAGCAACAAACAAACATTACTACTACTATATAATTATCACTCATCAAATCTAACTTACTCTACGGCTGCGAAATATTACAAGATATGGCACAAACACATAAAAACAAACTTAGTTCCATCCAATTCCAAGCACTTAAATGAATAACTGGAGCCTTTCCAGGAATATCCCTTGAATAAATTCACAGTGCAAGAATTTATACAACAAAATTATCATCCACAAGATAATCTTCACATTTATACTGAAGGATCCAAGGACCAAACTGGTAATCCTGGTTTGGTATCTACATACACCCTCCAAAAAAGCCTCAAACAATCCTATTATCTCCCAGTAAACTCCAGTATCTACACAGCAGAACTCGCAGCCATATGCATAGTTCAGGCCTTGCAAACAACATCCGACCAAACAAACACCACTATCTGCATTTTACGGATTCCTTAAGCTCCATACAAGCTCTCAATAATTACTCTACAACAAAAAGACCAGATCTAATAAATAACATATACAGAAGAATACTATACCACCAAAATACAAATAATCAAATTCATGTTATCTGGCTCCCGTCACAGATCGGAGTCCATGGCAACGAAATGGCAGACCAAACTGCCAAACTTGGACTCCACTCAAAAAACAAAATAAACATACCTTACTCCAAAACAGACCTAACAAACAAAGTTAACAATATAATAATAAATAAATTCAATTATAACTGGCAAAAAATAGAGGAACGTTATCTACTCTACCAAATTCAACAAACACTAAATACAAAATGTAAAAATTATCAATAAACACGCCGAACTGATGTTGCCATAACCAGACTAAGATTAGCAAATTGCAATCTTAATCACTATCTACACAAAATCAACCTACATCCAAACGGCAAATGTATCACTTGCCAAATTCCTGAAACAATAGCTCACACTATCTTTTACTGCTCAAAATATAATAATTCCACTTTTTACCACTTTTTACCATTTTTTTTTTTTATAAATATGCATAAATGTTCTTTTAACTTTTCAAATCAGTTTTCTCTTTTTATCAACTTCATTTTGTAACCTTTTATATGTTCATCATTATTCACTTAATAAATATGTTTTAAATATACTAACAAAGTACAATAACCGTTTATTATACTACATCTATATAAAATTCCAAATCTCTATTACTCTTTACTTATTTCATATTTTTTACTTTTTTAAATTCGGCCTCCCATTAAATTTCCCTTAATACTCAGTTTTTATTTATTTTATTTTTTTTGGGGTAGTAACATCATTCTTTCAAAATTTCTATTTTTTGTTTCCCCTCATTTCTTAATAACACCATTCTTTCAAAATTTCTATTTTTTGTTTCCCCTGATTTCTGAATAAGTGTACTACCCCATCGCCGAAATACATTAGTTGGGCGTGCGACGTTAAATAGAGGAAATAACTAACTAACTATATTCCTAATTAAAAACACAGGATATTTAACAGCTCTAAACACACAAGTGTGATAATTTGTACAAATTCGTTAGAGGCAACTGACAACTACCTCCAGCCTGATTTGCCTGTTCCCAACCAAGGATAAATAACTGATACGGACACGACCAAGGACGAGGCTTCCTGCAAGGCGAAAGTAGCTCATACAGTTGTGTCAGGATCCTGATTTTCTTAACTGACAGGAACCATACACTACTGAGACATATTCCACTTGACTTGCTGACGGGGTGTCTCAAGTTTGTTCCTGGTATATTTTATCAATTGTATAATATTCATATTGTATTGCATTGCATGATAACGCTCTTCTCTATGTATTTATTTGTTCTTCTACCGAACAAGAGGAAATCGATCTTTACGTTTCTTAACCAACTTAATCCTCAATAATTGTTGACTTTACGCAATCTCCAAGCATCCATGACTGTTTTGCTGAGTGATGCCTAGCAAGAGACGAGTTGGCCGAACACGATTTTGATGATGTGCATCTTTTAGCCATTAGTGGATTTAGTTTTTGGACAATATTCCACTTCAATCACTGTGTGTCAGCTATTTTTTAGTATCCTGAAGAAAGCCAACTTACGAGGACCGAATCTAGGGCAGTATCAGTCCCGTCCACGGCATTGAAAGCTCTATGGTACTTCTTATATAGTGCTGTCCGCGTGTCGCGGTCTTGTTCTAGTTGACGTTTTACATCACATAACTGTCTCAAGCGGAACCCGTCTATAAACAAGACGTCCCTGTCGCCTATGGACACTAAGCGTTGGATAGCTATTGATGGGATAAACACGTACGCCTACGGGCATGAGAAAATTGAACCAAGAACATAGGTATATATAAACAGGATATACCCTGTCGGGGCGACATGTCACGGAACCAGAGAAAGTTTGAGGCTATTTACTATAGCCCGCGTGGGTACTGGAAAGGAGCTAGAGCTGTAGATAAGCTGGCTAAAATTGCGCGAGTACCGCCGAAGGAGGCCAAAGCGTGGCTTGAAAAACAAGTCCTGTGGCAGATCTATTTGCCACCACCACGCTACGTGCCTAGAAGGAAGTTTGGTATTAACATACCCAATAGCGTTCACCAGGCAGACCTACTGTTCCTACCACACGACAAGATGTACAAGTATGCCTTAACCGTAGTGGATGTAGCCAGTCGCTACAAGGAAGCCGAACCCTTGACCGCGAAAGATTCTGCCCAGGTAGCCAGAGGATTCGAACGCATATACAAACGCAGTCGCTGACGTGGCCAACAGAGCTGCAAGTTGACCCCGGGCGGGAGTTCATGGGTGTTGTGTCACAACTGCTAGCCAAACACGATACAAAGGTCAGGCGTGGCACGGCCGGAGCCCATCGCAGCCAAGCCATAGTTGAGAGATTTAATAGGACTTTGGCTGAGCGCTTATTTGGACATCAGTATGCTAGGGAGATGGCCAACCCGGGAAGCGATCGACTGAATGGGTCGCGAGGTTACATAAGGTGGTGTCGGCAATCAACCATGAAGTCACCCGTCTCACCGGCAAGAAACCGGCAGACGCTATCAAACTAAAATCAATAGTGGCAGAGTCGGCTGCTCCATTGCATGGGAAGGAGAAACAGATACCAGATAGGGCCCTAGTTAGATATCTATACCAGCCGGGGGAACATGAGGGTGATAGTCGTAAGCGAGCCACTGACCCAATATGGTCAGTCAAAACTTACAACATAGATAAAGTGGACATCAAAGCAGACGAGCCGAACTTGTACTACTTGAGGGATGAGCCAGGCAGAGGACTCGTTAGACAGGAATTATTGATCGTACCGTACGACACAATGTTACCTCCTGTCAACACGACATAGTGTCACGTGATCAGGAAAGTGCTATCTCAGGATAGACCCGTTAATCCGAGATTGTTCAGCTAAGTCCCCCCGGTAGCTCAATCGGTTGAGTGGTGCGGCCCATTATGTATAGTTTGCGCGAGCTATACATGTGGGTTCGTATCCCACCGTTGCCTCAGTGGATTCCTTGCAACTTTGTGTGATGTGAGGTGTTTCGGTAAGGTATCCCTTAGTGGGGCACTCTCATGGCGAGAGAAAGGCAGCCGATGCAATTCCCCTTGGGAGAAGCGCAACATCATCTTTCTTTCTCCCTTGGGGAATTGTGGCTGCCGGGGACATTTTACTACTTTTCTCTCTTTCTATAGGGCGGGAAATCAACTTGGGCTCAAAAGTAGTAGATACAATGGTAGCAAGAGCTAAGAGCTAAGAGGCGGAGGCTTTTGTTGGACTTGGTCCAAAACCGCTATTACTCCTACTACTAACGGCCATGGAACTGACATATTTGGAAACGAAGTTACTCTTTCCAATGCCATATCTAAATGTTTGGATAATTTCAGGTGACGGAATGGTGGTACACCAGACAAAGAATAAAGGAGTTCTGAAACAGCGACTCAGCGATGTGATTCAGCAGTGCAGGTTCTACATTGATAACAGCCTGGATTCGGAGATCACGTTTGTACTTGATCGTTTTGTCTAGTATTAAAGATAAATCATAAAACATTAAGTGGTTTGACCAAACGGTATGGTGTTGTCATAACACAAGTTCACTGCTGACATTTGGAGCCGAGTTAATTTCTATAATGTTTAAAATCCACCAGTGTCCTCAGTAAGAATAACGTACCCCTTAAGAATTAATAGATCCCTAGTTTGAGGGAGTAAAGATTATTGCCCGAAATGCAATGGGGACTTGGCAGCATTAGCTCACCCTACATCTGTGAAGGAAACATATCCCCTTTTCCATCTCTACACTAATCTGTACACGCCAGATGGAATAGAACCGAAACAAATCACATATTCCTGGAGGTTCCCAAACTTTAGAAGCAGATTCATATTTTGCATGAACCATTTTAACTTGATTAAATCAGATGACTGATGATATTATTATCATTTTTGTGTATTCCTCATATTCTACATGTACATTTAGTCATATGCCTCTAGCTATCCTTGCTTTATGGTATAATGAGTTCTTAAACTCCGACATTACTTCTGCTTTGAGGAGAAAAAAGGTCAACTTAAAAACAGAACTTTCTGTGCCTTAAGGTACTATGAGGTGTAACACCTCTGGCAGTATCCGTACAACATGAGTCGTACAAAGAATCTACCCGACATAGCGGACTGGATGTAACCTCCACACATTGCCTTCTGCTGGTCTGTCCGCACCTTTCCGACTGTCTGTTGGCCCTTCCCCTCCTTTCCTATCCTACTTGCTTTTAAAGGCAAGATGAACGACAAACAATCTGCTTAGCTGGTCACATTTGTGAGTAGTTTGACATATGCCTGGCGAGTGGCGGCTATTTTCATAGAAATAATCTGCATAGATGGTCATATTTTTAGTAGAGTGACATAGTCATCAAATTGTGAGTCAACATGTGTCAAATAAAGAGTAGGTGTTTTTATTTACGCAATACAACTATGTGAGACAGGGCGAACAGTTTATACAGAGTCCGACAGGGACTAACAGGGTAAGGCTGCGAAGTCAGACTGACACTTGGAAAGCAGATGTCTATTCTTCCTGCTCCGAAAGGCAAAAGGCAGTTGAACGACAAACAATCTGCTTAGCTGGTCACATTTGTGAGTAGTTTGTCATATCTCTGACGAGTGATGGCTATTCTCATGGAAATAATCTGCTTAAATCGTCAGAGTTATACAGTGCAAAGCAAACAGATAAATTAAAAATCGGAAGACGGACACTGATATTCCTTTGTTTTCTTTTCAGTCCCAAAAGTAGGCCTCAGATTGTGGAGGATGCACTCAGCCGAGTGGGGAGACAAGGGTATAGTCTCTTCACAAGTAACTGCGAACATTTTGCAACCTGGTGTAGATATGGGATGGCAATCTGCAAACAGGCGAGTGGTGTTAATGAGTTCATTAAGACATTCTCAATACATCAAAAACTGGCACCAGTACTTTCAAATGCAACAACAGTATGTCTATACGTTCTATATGTCTATAACTAACACGCATTATAATATTTATTAGGTTAATTGAATAGATTCACTCCAAACTGCTTATTTTGTTCAACTGTTTTATTTCGTGTTCAGTTTCAATGTAGCACTCAGGAATACTGTCCCAGTGTCTCCTGTAAGTAATCAGCGACGACCGTGCCTTAATAGGACAGATGAGACGCAATCAAGCAAGTTGCCCAAACCTCGCACCAAATCCAAATTACTAAATGACTTGCATCTTTGGACAATCTGAATTTTGTACGTAATTCGATTCTCAATGGTCAGTCAGAAGTTTCAAATCAGAACTACTCCGTCTGTATACCCCCCAATAAACCCAAAACAAAACAAAAACAAAAACAAAACAACAACAACAAACAACAAACAAAACAAAACCCAAACAAACAGAAAAAAACAAAATAAACAAACAAAAACAACAAACCTGCTATAAAGACCACGTCTCAAACTATGTCTATGTTTTGCTATTTACAGATTGGTGAAAAAATAAAGGGCGGCTTCGTCAGTGTCAGCTACGCCAGTAAAGGCTCTACTTCATCCAAAGGAAGCATGGATAAGTGTGCTGACAACATCTGCAAGGGCTGTACGTCATTGTCAAAAGCCAAAGAGCAATGAAATATACTTATGACTAAAATAGTCTTTACTGGTTTTGTTAAATCCAGAACAACTATCAATATTACAAAGATAGTTAATCTTGTGTCATACCTAACCACTCATATGTGATGTCTTGTCTACTCTCTGGAAATAAACAGTGATACACTGCACACCACTTGTTTCTGCAATCATTTGGGAAAACATGAAATACCACTGGCAAACACTTTGCTATACCAAGACGCTTCCCTACCTAAATTTTGTAGTTATTCAGTGTATGAAATTCGACACTGAGAACTGTAGTTCAGATATATACAAACATACGCACAAAGGGGTCGACGCTTCTCTGCTGGCTGACTGAATGCCCCGAGTTTCATCATAGGCGGCTCAATTGTCTGTGCTGAATCAACTGCAAAAGAAATGTTTAGTCCCATTTTTCTTGCTTTATTTGTAAGCAATGCATTATCTAAATTTCTATACAGTTCAAAATTTAGAATCTGCTCCACGTATTGCCTGGATTGTTTACAAATGCAGTTGCATGTCACGAGTATTGTTGAGTAAGCCTGTACATACTGCCGTACAGTAAATAATTTCTCGGCAAATTGTGTAAACGTGATCCCTTTTCACAAATACATGGTACCAAACTGATTTTCATTTGATCACATTTATTTCACAGTTCTTTTATTTCTGAGCATAGTCAGGACTGGATATTCCTTTTCGCTCTGTGCTGCGTTCTGTGTTTACAACAAGCATGGGATACTGAAGACCAGCTCCAGTCCAAATCTCCATTCGGTATGTTACCATTTAATACAGGAAGCCAGTTAAAGGTGTTTTCTGTTATGTGGATACAGGCGTTACAGGAGGGACTACCATTGTAATGGTGACCAAAATTACCGGTGTTAAAGTCATGGAGTATGTATTCCATAGAGATTACGTACATTACACTTTCCTTCATATCTTTAGGTAAGAGCAAGATTTGGATTTGATAACGCATTTTTATATAAATCATTTATCGACAGAATCAACGTCTGATGGCCAAGTGTCAGTGGTTAACGGAGGAGGTTAAACCCCGCCAATCATAACACCAACTCTCCAAGCTACGAAATCGTTGCTATGTCTTTGTCTGATAAAGCTACAACGTTTGAATCCATATTTCAGTTACGTTCTATTATAATATAATGATTACAATCTTTTAAACATACGGCCCGTGAAGATCCGGGGTAGAATTGGTCTTCAGCAACCCACGCTTGCCACAAAGGGCGACTATGCTTGTCGTAAGTGGCGACTAACGGGATCGGGTGGTAAGGCTCGCTGACTTGGTTGATACATGTCATCGGTTCCCAATTGCGAAGATCAATGCTCATGCTGTTGATCACTGGATTGTCTGGTCCAGACTCGATTATTTACAGACCGCCGCCATATAGCTGGAATATTGCTGAGTGCGGCGTAAAACTAAACTCACTCACTCACTCATTTTAAACAGACCAGTTTTAGAAGCAAGCGAAATATAAACGATCGAGTATTCCATTTTTAGATTTGTTTGGGCATGTTTGTTTCGAAAATGGCAACAATCGTCCAGGCACACAAATTCGACTCCTGTGCGAAGACAAGATTTCACACTGCTTTGATGTATACTACTTCGATCATGATTTATTGCGGAAAACAATGGACATAGTGAAAAGTAGGCTTATTTTCTATGCCATACAGTTAATCTTACCGACCTCTTGATGCTGTTTTCAAAAGTGACATCCAAGTGGTGAGGTGAGGTGAGGTGAAATTGGGTTTAACGTCGTGCTTGAGAATATTTCGCTCATATGACGACGTGCATGCGTGAATATGTGTATGTGCGGCTGCTTGTACTAGCCCAGACTGAAGCTGGTTTTATAGTGCTAGCCTACTGAGATACCATGCCGAAGTGAAGCATGAATACCCCACTCAGACACCAGTCCTTGTTGTACCCATTAATGCCGAGCGCCAGGCAGGGACCAACAAGTACCATATTTTAACGTCTTTTGGTATGACGCGGTCGGGGATCGAATCCGCGACCTTCCGCTCTCCGGGCGGAGACATCCAAGTGGAAAAGTTGAAAAGTCAAATTCTAAAATCAATCTACTGATCATACATATGTACACAATACAGTGTTATGAGGATGTGTTTTTGTTAATTATAATGTCATATTCATTAACTTTTATATATGGGTCACAAAAGTTTAAAGCGCTAAGTGTGGATTTGAACTCACACTTTGAGCTTAGGCTATGTAATTTCACCTGTTAAGAGTTGGTTGGGGAGTTGCCTCCCTTTGTTTGATTTGCTTATGGTATCGAAGCTGTCAGCGATTTCTAGATGATCGTTGTTTGACATGGCTTTTGCAAGAATTCTCCAGAACTGTATAATAGGTATATAAGGGATGGTTGTTGAGATGTATGAGGGGGAACAACTTTGCATTTATGCTCATCTTTCTGCTAACATCGACGTTTCAAGACCGACTACTTAAGAGTCGTCGTCTACATTGGACTTTCAACACCTGTCAACAAACATCAATCAATATATCTACAAGGATCAAGATCCTTGATGTTGATCACTTGATTGTCTGGTCCAGACTCGATTATTTACAGACCGCTGCCATAAAGCTGGAATATCGCTGAGTCTGGCGTAAAACTTAACTCATTCACCCAATATAAAAGAACCACACGTCGCGAATACATGTTTCAATTGTGTACGTGTACGTTGGCTTCTACAATGACGACGCACATGACCCCTAAACCTCGTACTACGCGGCCCTGTCAGCCAGAAGATTGCCTAATTAGGGACCTATTTAAAACCTAAGTGTTTGCTAGGGGCACTTATTGGAGCAGGGGCGCTTATTGGAGCAGGGCGCTGATAACGGTTGTTATCGATAAA